AGACACCCTGTGAGGTGGGTGGGGCTGAGAGAGCTCTGACACAAACTGCTCTTTTTCAAGGACAGCTGTGCCAGAGCTTGTGACTGACCCACGGTCACACCAGCAGCTGCATGTGGAGGAGTGTGGAATCAAACCCAGTTCTCCCAGATTAGAGTCCGCACACTTAACCACTACACCAAACGGCCCCTTCCAGCGCTATGATTCTGTGATTTTATGATTAGAGGTTGCATCCTCCGCTGCAGAGCAAGAGTGCTCCGAAAAAGAGAACAGTTAGATTCCAGTAGCGCCTTAGGGACCAACCCAAATTTTGGGGGCATAATCTTTCAAGAATGCTATGAGGAAGGGCTGAAGAGACCCGGGACTTTTCAGTTGAGAAAAGAGATGACTAAGGGTGGACACGAAAGAGGTTTATGAAATGATGCATGAGACAAAGAGAATTTTTTCTCCCTCTCCCAAAAGACTAGAACCTGAGGGCCTCCAATGAGGCTGGTGGGCAGTAGGTTCAGGAAAGACGAAAGGAAATACTACTTTACACAGAGAGCGCTTAAAATGTGGGATTCGCTGCCAGGAGATGTCGCGATGGCCACAGGAATAAATGGCTTTAAAAGAGGATGTGAGAGATTCATGGAGGAGAAGTCTATCAATGGTTGCTAGCTGTGGTGGCTGAGGGGAACCTCCAGATTCAGAGGCACTAATCCTCTACATCCCAGGGCCAGGAGGCAACAACAGGGGAAGGCCTCAGCCTCTCTGCCCTGTTGTTGGCCCTCCAGAGGAACTGGCTGGCTCCTGTGTGAGGCAGGATGCTGGACTAGATGGACCCTCACTGGTCTGATCCAGCAGGGTTCTTCTGATGTTCTTAGGAACTGACGCTTTCTTTTGTCAGATACAACTTCAGAAAACTCATGGCCCCAAAATATTAATGGACTCTAAGATACTACTGGATTCAAATCTAGCTGTCCCACTGCAGACTAATATGGCCACTACCTGAAAAAGAGAGAGAGACTTTGAAACCAGTTTAAGATTGTAGCTGGGGCATAGCCTTGGAAGGAGCCGGGGGAATACTTGTCTTTAGTTTTCCTCACCTTGCCTTATCCTCGATGTCACAAAATTTTAAAATGAAGAAGAAGAGGAAGAGATTGGATTTATACGAGAACAGCTCTGACAGAACTATGGCTTGCCCAAGGTCATCCAGCAGGTGCAAGTGGAGAAGTGGGGAATCAAACCCAGTTCTCCCTGATTAGAGTCTGCTCACTTATCCACTACACCAAAATGAAAGACTTATAACGGTCAACTAACTAAAGAAGCTTTTTTTGAAAAACAAATTGTCTGACACATTATCGGTTGAGGAGTAAAACAGCATTTTTTAAAAGGAAAGGTGAATTTTTTTTTGCCGTTGGCAGTCAGTTCTGCTGAGTTCAAACTGGAACGGACATGTGCGTATCACGAGACTGCAGCACAAATTGTGTTTTGGGTGTCCCGAAGTACAGACAGTTTTTCGTTGAGCGCAAGAGAACATTCAGTTTAATGAATGAAAGCTACCACTCCTTGCGAGAGGGAAGGTCTCGACACGCTTTGTTTACAGTAGCACAGTCAAGAACCGAAAAGGTAAGGAAACAACCTGATGGCGGGCCAGTAGTTAAAACCTCAGATGAACTTATATAAGTAAAAATACATGTATCCAGGGGTCATTTCGTAGAAAAAGAGCTAGGGGAACTCATTAGCATAACTCATTGACAAATACAAATGACAAGTATACACGGAACAATTATTGTGAACAAATGCGTTTCGTCCCAATCAGGCGTCTTCTGAAGTCAAACAATATAAGGTACATATAGGCACATGTTACAAAGAAATAACAAAGAATATGTCAATTTGTTGTTGTTGTTCAGTCGCACAGTCGAGTCCGACTCTTCGCGACCCCATGGACCACATCACGCCAGGCCCTCCTGTCTTCCGTCGTGCTTTGGAGTTTGCTCAATTCCATGTCCGTTGCCTCGATAACACTGTCCAACCATCTCATCCTTTGCCGCCCCCTTCTTCTTTGACCTTCAGTCTTTCCCAGCATCGGGGTCTTCTCCAGCGAGTGCTCCCTTCTCATTGGGTGGCCAAAGTATTTGAGCTTCAGCTTCAGTCTCTGGCCTTCCAGGGAACAGTCAGGGTTGATTTCTTTTAGGATTACTATGTCAATACTGGACCAAAAAAATGCTGCTGGAAAAGTGAGAGAAATGGGTTTTAGTTACAAAATGTGATGAATTTTGCTTATAATATGGTTACAAGCCCCTATATTATTTGCTTCCAAAACGAAATTAATAGACATAGGACAGAAATGTTTATGAGGGCTTTTAAGATTAAATCCTCTGTGCAGTGCATATGCACAGGTGGTAAATGGTGTTACTTTTGTGTGTCTTCCAATTGTGGTCCAGAAAGTCCAAAGAGATTTTTTTGCATGTCCTTGATAGAAAGCAGTTACAGTAGCATACCAGAGCCAAAGAGATTTTTTTGCTTAAAGTTCAAGACCCATCAGCGTTCTCAGGAATTTGGGTTTTGTGGCCCCCTCCCCAGTGCCTTGCTGGTTTAGATAATATTATTGGGCTCTGGAGTTTTCTGGGGCTCCTGTATTCACCTGCTATGAGGCACAGGGTTTGTTGACAGTGTCTATCGTGCCGTCGGCTGTTTTATGGGTTTTACTGTTTTTATTGTTTTATGGATTTTATGTTGTAAGCCACGGGGGTATAAATTGGAAAAAAAATACTTTGGCGTGGGCTCTAATCCTGCATTCACACAGGCTGCCTGTCTGCCATAGGGTGGACGTGATCTGAGTGCCACATTGTGGTTAACATGGGATGTAAGTGGGAGAAGAGCGCCCATCTCCTTTATGCTTTGACCCATGCATGTCTCCAAATATTCTGCAGCAGCCGACAGCACGCAGATCCTTCCTCTGGTGATTGACATGGCTGAAAGGAGCATTAAGCCCGTGTGATTAACCCCTTTCCTTTCTCTCTTCCTTTGCAATGCAGGACTGCCCAATTGCCTGGGTGAACGTCATGCTGTTTGACTACCGAGACCAGTTGAAAACTGGGGAGTGTTTCCTCCCGATGTGGTCTTCCTTTCCAGGTAGGACAGAGGACTTCCCTTCCTTGCTGCAGGCAGGGGAGGAGACCGACTTCCTCTCTTTTCCCCCAAGAGCAGCCAGCCAGATGTCTCCCGGCCTCATCACTCTGGGAATCCCACTTAAATTCCTCTTTGTTCTTTCGGGTTGTTTCCGACACCGGTTTTGTGGCAATTGTGCACCAGGGTCTACAAGCGGTTATCTTGGACGAATGCATGAAGCTGCCTTATTGTGAATCAGACCTTTAGTCTATCGAGGTCAACACTGTCTGCTCAGACTGGCAGCGGCACTCCAGGGTCTCAGGCGGCGGTCTTTCACGTCACCTCTTACCTGATCCTTTGAGGTAGAGTTTGAACCCGGGACCTTCTGCATGCAAAGCAGATGCTCTACCACTGGGCCGTAGCTCTACCCCACCACTGGAGAAGTAATAAAGACATTAATGTAGTAACCAAAGTCTTGAACGGAGAAGACGTGGGTTCAAATCATGCAGCGGTGAAATTTGAGACTACCCAGCCTACCTCACAGGCTTGTTGTATGGATGACAAAGGAGGGGAGAACCATATGTGCCACCCTCAGTTGCTTGGAGGGAGGATGGATTTAAAGTATATATTAAGATATACTGCCTCTGGATCTGGAGGTTCCATTTAGTGTTCATTGGTCATTGCTGTTGACCAACCTCTTCCGTGCAGATGTGTTCCAAGCAGGGCAATCCTGTGAGGGTACCCTAGAAATGAATGAGATAATATTATCTTGCATGACACTGTTCTTTTCCTCCCAATGTAGACATCTGAAGGGAGAGCCAGCGTGGTGTAGTGGTTAAGAGTGACAGACTCTAATCTGGAGAACCGGGTTCGATTCCGCACTCCTCCACATGAAGCCAGCTGGGTGGTCTTGGGTCAGTCACAGCTCTCTCAGAGCTCTCTCAGCCCAAAAAATAAGTCTAGCTCGCCACCTAGTGGTGCACAACACTAAAAGAGCTAGAACTTCAGGCTGCCAGACACGGCAGTTGAGAAGCAGAGGTGGTCTGCCGTTCCCTTCCTCTGCAGGGTCTTCCTTGGTGGTCTCCCTTCCAAGTACTGATCCTACTTAGCCTCTGAGGTCTGACGAGATTGGGCTACGCCGTGCCGCCTTCCCTCCCACAAACCCACTAAAGTACAATCAATCCATAAAAAGGATGAACCCGTTCACCTTTCAAAATGTGATCTTGCCTTGAATGTTTAAATCCAGATAACATTCCACGGTGGCCACCAGATGGCGCCAGCTTCATTACACAGCCTCACCCCACTTTTGACTTCCAGATGAGAAAGACGAGCTGTTGAACCCGATGGGCACCGTCCAGACCAACCCCAACACGGAGAGCGCCGCCGCCCTGGTCATCCGTTTCCCCACCGTGGCGTTCTCTCCAGTGTACTACCCGTGCCTCGAACAGGTAATAAGGCAGCTGCCACGGGAGGATCTTGCCCGCTTTCTGATAGTTCCGTCAGTTGCCGGTTAAAACTCCCGAACCTCAGAGGTTCTGCCCAGCAAACGGCCCACTGGTGTTCTGCTGGCAAAGGTTCCGTCCACAGC